ACCCCCCCCCGCCCTGCTCTCATTTCACACCCTCGCTGCCCGCCGGGCTCTCTGGCGTCCTCTGCGGGAGGCACCAATTTCAGGCCTGGGTCCGTTCCTTCCCAGGGGCAGAGGTAGATCCGGGGGGTCCCTGAGCAAGGAGGGGAGCCTGGGGCTGGGAAAGGGGAGCAGGTGGGATTCCCCTCCCCACGGCTTCCCAGGGCCCAGGGCGGGGGGCCGGCAGCAGGCAGCTCCTGAGCTCCCCCCGCGACGAGGAGCCAGCAGGGCGGGGGGGCTTGGCCCTTGCGATGGCTGGTAACGGTAAGAGCGCTGGACTCGGACCCATCAATCCATGTGTAGGCACATCCCTGCGCACGCCAATCACACCCTGCTCACACCCCTCACTGATACATTTACACACGCACGCCAATCACACCCTGCTCACACCCCCTCACGGATACATTTACACACGCACGCCAATCACACCCTGCTCACACCCATCACGGATACATTTACACACGCACGCCAATCACACCCTGCCCACACCCCCTCACCGATACATTTACACACGCGTGCCATTCACACCCTGCTCACACCCCTCACCAATATATTTACACACGCACGCCATTCACACCCTGCTCACACCCCCCACACCGATACATTTACACCCGCATGCCATTCACACCCTGCTCACACCCCCACACCGATACATTTACACACGCACGCCATTCACACCCTGCTCACACCCCCTCACCAAAACATTTACACCCACATGCCATTCACACCCTGCTCACACCCCCTCACCGATACATTTACACAGGCGCACCATTCACCATTCACACCCTGCCCACACGCACGCCATTCACACCCTGCTCACACCCCCTCACCGATACATTTACAGACGCACGCCATTCATGCTCTGCCCACATCCGTTACTGACACATTTACACACACCCACCATTCACACCCTGCCCACACCACCCACTGTCACGGATACATTTACACCCCCCCAACCATCGTTCAACCGGCATCTACAAATGCACACAGCCTGCGTGCACATACTCCCTGCTCCCCCTCGCTTTGCACCCCCCCGACACCCGTCGCTCGATGGCCCTGCGTGGCCCCTGCCCCCATTTCCCGGTGGGGGTGGGGGCCATTGGCGCCAGCGTCCCAGCTCGCGCAACCTCCCGGGTGTGGGTGTGTCAGTGTCGAGC